TTTTTTTTTTTGAGGGTATATCAAGTCGAATGTTATATGCGTGAATGATGTTAAAGCATATATAAGTTAATCTATAAGATTGAGTTAATACAATTATGAAGTAACAAGGATAAATGAATATTTTATATGCCTTGATGTTGTGTGGAGAACAGTATTGAGTATTATATAAGTTACAATATGTAGATTACATTAAAAAAGGAAAATGATTTATTTGTAAACTTTTAAAACACACTGATTATTGTGAATGAATAAAAAAGTCGATGTATTATGTAACATATGCCTGTTTATCATTCCTTTCATTATGTATTCTTTCAAATATACACATAGTTTTTATTTAAAATTACTTGTTATATAAAAGATAAACGTTACCCTTGTCAGTATTAACTGCAGCAAAAGATATCTTACATAGAGAAGAGTAGCGTTTACTCAATTCAATATGATTAATTATTTTTGTTACCTTTTCTTCACTTTTATTGCTTGCGCGGTATTAAATTCCAATTAGTTACCAAGGATAAATTTTGTAGGCTAAAGTCTTGCAATAAATCGCACATCCGTTTGTTCGTTCGTTCTCGCAGCACATTTCTAATAAAATTTTCCTTTTGGGCTTGCGAAATTTTGAATAAGGCACCATGTTTCTCGAAGGCAACACGAAGCCATTGTGCTGTCCATTCTATGCACGTTTTATTTAACGTCAACAAAACTTCCGCATGAGGTTCCAAATTACTCCGTGGTACTTCCCCTCCTGTTATTATAAATTTTTATTACATTTGAAATTTTTGGAAGTATGATTATCCATTTACATACCCACACACTGTAAAATTACGCAAACTAAGTGTTGTCCAATTGGTTGAACGAACGTCTGTAGGTGTGGACTCTGCATAATAGCATGTGTAAGGAAATGTCCAGCCGCCCTGACTGTGGCCGATTCTGGTAACACCAAGCAGTCGATTCCTGTCAGCAATATAATTAAAAAATATCATATAGATTTTTAAATTTAATAATTAAAAATGTTAAATTAAAAACTGAAATTTACCGCACTGCAACATTTCAGGAATTTGGTCAGGGATTTGTAATAACATTCTGGTATTTTTTTTACAAATTTGAGCCAACAATCCAAGATACGCTTCCATTAATTCTGCCCAATCGGATAAGTTTCCATTTACAGATCTACACGCTCTGATGCCACTCAGAGTGATAGAACTTATGTCCGCGAAAACAGGACCTATCACGTTGTTTGGATCGCGTCCAAATAATAAAACGAGCTGTCGAAGAAGATTTAAGGCCGCAGGATGAGGCCAGGTTTTGTACGAGTTCGCTAAAATGGGAAGCAGAGGTCGGGCATCTTCTTCAGGATGAAGTAATGACGTTAGAGACTTCTGAGCGCAAATGTACATTTCCTCTAATGTGAAATTGTCCTGACCCCACTCGGGATGGGCAACAATTTGACTAAATATCGGTAATAAACCATCCAATACAGCTTTTCCAATAGATCCTTCTAATGTAGAAAAAAACATTGTGGCCATTTTTAACTGGTTCATCACTGCACCACGAGCCAGAAACCAAGGTTGTTCTAATAATTCTCGTATTTTTATTATACATAAGCCTAGTGTAGCGTCCAGATGAGCCAATTGTTCATCAACAGAGGGCAAAGTATTGAGCAATTTGCCAGCTGCATACATCAATCGCAAACCTTCTGCACATCCCGGAGTAACGTTTGGAAGAGTCTGTTCGATAGTGTTGAGAATAGATGGAGCAAAGGGTGTGAGTTGTTGTTCACATTCTCGGGCTAAGTCTTTCAAGGCCATAGTAGCAAAAGGTGCTGTCACTGAGCCTCTTGTTAACCCTAAAGTTACAATTCGAAGCACTCTTTCTAACCAAGGATCTGGATGTTCCCCGATCCATTCGGCATATGCTCCTACTACCGAACACGCACATGCGAGTACCTAAAAGCATAGAGTCAAATCTTGTATTCCATTTATGACGAAAGAGTAAGCTTCTACGAACTACTGTCTTTGTAAATGAGTGTAAAATTACAACATATAATTTGATTATGCACCATTTTAATACAAGAGAATTTGTTGTACCTCTCCAGGATAGTGGTCGTATGGGATATGACTAAGAACCAAATCCATTAAAGCAGGAATGTAGTGGGATTCCTCAATACCAACACTGTCTGCTAGAGCTTCAAAAGCGTGCAACGTCGATTCTACCTCCGTCCACTTTTGTGAACTGTCTAAGGTCTGACTCAATCTCTGTCCAAGAAGCACTAACAAATCCTGCCCTAAAACTCTATAACAATAATCTAAAGCATCTGCTACATCTTGTCTGTAACACCTGAAAAGCTCCCGTTCATCTGCATCCCCTGTTTCGCTAGCAGACGAAGGAAGCGTTGACTTTCTTAATAATGCTTGAGCTAATCTTGCATAAACAGGCTTCAAAATCAGTACAGCACGACTTTCGTAAGGTTGATCAAGTGTGGGAAGATAGTCCTGCAAGGCGTACCAAAATCCAAATGGGATGGAACTGCGAGTTTCATCCGTAGGATATCTTCCCTCTTGTTCGGAACATTGTAAAAGTAATTCAATTAAACTTTCGACTGTCCATTTCTGAGTTTCGTTCCCTTCTTCCACTAAAGTATTTAAAAATGTTCTACTGTGAGCCTCTCCGATTGCAGTTAAAACTTCACAAAAATATTTATCACTGTATTGTCTTGCCATTGTTACCAAATTATTTGTCCATTCCCACAATGTTTGTGGTCTCTTTATAAGTTCACTATGAGTTACTATTATATTCAAGCATTCTTGAACTACTTCCCAACCTCTGACATTTTCTTCGTCGCGCCCTTTCCTTTAAAATTGAGTAATTCATTATTTTGATTCATTAACAAGAAATATGCTTGTAATATGTATACCTGCTTGGCGCATAATATGCTGCAGCTGCTAATAAATGGGAATATATCTGGCCTGTTGCATCGAGAGGAAGCTGACCAACTTTAAGCCAGGATAATGCACATTCCATGGCTAGTAAGTGTATGTCATTATCAATGTCTTGAGAATTTGGATTGCACACAGAAAAAACTTGTTGTAAGAGCCAAGTTGTCTTATACCAGCCCTTTATTAGACACTCGTGTAACTTAGCTCTCCTCATTTCACGTCTCCTTTCAAACTGATCAGATCATTGAGATTTATTAATCATAAGATAATAAAAGCTATTTATGGATGTATATATCATACCTCCCCAGGTAATACAGAAAGCGTACGTAACAACAGCTCCAACATAGGAAGAGAATCATAAGATAACATCCGCATCAATTCATCTACGACATTTTTATCCTCGTCATCGTTTTCTGTAACCGCACTAATATTTGCTACAAATCCAGCTAACTGAAAATAAAGAATTTGTTTTATTTTATTGTGTTTGCAAGTTGAATTTGCAAAATGAATTTCAAACAGAAGATATTACCGCTTGACAAAGTTTAGAGAGAACAACCTTTGGCATGTTTGGCTGCTTTATAAAGTTTATTAAGCGCTCCTGCAGAGCAGGATACTCACTCTTGGGCACTTCATCCCATTGTTTGGAGATTTTGGCATGTAATGTAGTAGCTGCATAAAACTGTGCTTCTCTCGACTATAATGAGAATTAGGTTATTTCCAAGATATCATTATCACACGTGAAAAACAAAGAAATTCCACATACTTTCGAAGGACCAAGAAGTTCCCAAACAAAAGTCCAGGCCTCCGGAGAGGACTGAACTCTCAGCAACCATGAATGAACGTCGTTGTTTCCTTCTGCGTAAAACTGTTTCACAGCTTGATCTATTACAGTTGCATATTCCATTGCAAATAATTTGTCAGTCTTCATAAATAATCTTACAATCGAATTGTCTAAAAGTCTATATTTGGAAAGGGTATTTGTGCACGAGTGGTTACTCCTTTCATTCTGTCGAAATTTGGTATTTAGTTTGTTTTACCGTATCTATTGATAAGGTGATTTCTATCATTTTTATAAATCATTTAAAGTATTTTTTTCTTCTCTTTCTTTTGCACATAAACTATTCAATTCTTGTTTACACGGTCTCTCTCAACCGCGTTAAAAAAATTTCACGATAATTTTCACGACATCTTTCGCTATCGGTGACAGCTATATGTTTGGAAATGCGGTCGAAATTTTATTCCGATTTTCAATTGACGATACATCGTATTCTTAAGAAAAGTCTTAATTTGAAAGAAACAGACTAGTAAGGAAAATTTACACATGATTTTTTATATTTTTTAAAATACATATTTTACATACTTTGTATATTTTAGAATTTATGTATCAAACGAATCCATGTAAACGCGGACCTAATGATATAAGATCAAAACATAACCTCAATAATTGACGCATTACATTGCTACATATGCGTGAATATGTATGATAAACATTTTGATTCTCTACAATTGTTAAGGATTCGAAATTTTGGAAAATATTGTAATCACAAGATACAACTTATCTTTTATTGGGTTATTTGAATTATCATGTATAATATTATAATCTCTTGATCACATTACTGTTATTTTACTTGTATTTGTAAATTATCTTTTTATTCGAAGAAATTGCTATTATTATGGATGACTCCAAGGATCTATCTGTCAAAGGTATACAATTTCATTAAATTATATTATTACTATACTAATTTGAATAATAATCAGTATTCATTATCAATGGGTGAGCAGTAGCTCTCGTAGAGCGTAATATTCAACCACAAGGTATTCTGTTGAATGATCCGGAAGCTGTGGGCAAAACATCTCAACATGATTTAATTACATTAGCAACAGAAATAGAAAAGGCAGACAACTTCGTTAAATTAAATGCCTGCAATAAATTGCAAATGATTGTGGATCAAATAAGGTATCTGAAAAAACAAGCTGAAAACATTCTTACAGAAGCTAATTGGAATGTGAAATTACATCATGTTCCTTGTAATTTTGTGAAACATCCTGGACATGTATATCATTTGTATCAAAAAGAAACTGGCCAGCTTTACTTTTCCATGATTAGTCCAGAAGTAAATAAATTATTTTTATATTTCTGAAATGGAAAAAAAATGTGCCTAACTACATTATATTTTAGGAATGGGCTACATCAAAATCTGGTCCAGTTCAAACTTACAAGGGTTCCTATAGATTAGAGCATGATCATTCGTGGACACCTCTTGAAGAAACTCATAAGAAGAACGAAGACATGGCGATGTTGGCTCAACTTTGGTCCAACATTCCAACAAATGTTTTCAAAAGCATTGACTTAAATGTAAATATGTAAAAGTAGCGTAATGTAAATATAGTCTATTTGTTTTAAATAAATTTGTTCATTTCAAATGTATTTTTAACTGAAATTTAATTTATTATTTCCTCGCACGTGGTGAGGAATTATGTAAATGCAATTTAAATCACCATTTCGTATAATTTATCAGTTATATTTTTCGTACTAATATGTATGGTATTACTATTTTTAAGAAATGAAATGTATGAGAGAAATACAATTTCTAAAAAAATTATGAATATAATTTTATATACATTCTGCAATTAATCAAGGAAGTATCTTGTACATCAATGAATTTCGAAGCAGAGATACAGTTCTATTAACAATCGACTCTTCGAATAATTCTTTCTTTAGTGAAAAATATCTCTATTATAGTCGTATAAAGGCATATCTTTCTCCTTTCCCTCTTTCTATACTCTCCCTTGATTTATATTAATATTGTATTCAGCGCAAATTATTTCTTTTTTACTCATAGTAATTGTGAAAGTAATAATTTGATTCTTTCACTGTTTCCTTTATATAAGACCATGCAAACGATTACTTTGTAGGAAATAAAAGTATTATACAAAGTAGTACAAATGATTGATGAACACTCAATTTCTTCAACAAGGTATCTGTGGAAGTTAATCTAAACAGTCGAAAGAACTCAATGAAGCAGTACAGACTATCATCATAGATCATGATGACTTTACTTCGATTTCTTATAGTGGCGCAAGCGTCATGTTGTGTTCACTTTATGAGCTGAAATAGACCAATTTTTTTTATTAATTTCTTTTTGTAAAACCTACAATCATAGACATAAGTTATTTCTTTTAATCCTTACATGGTAAAGGTATTCTGACTGGTGCATTATCTTTGACTATACATTCATGTGTTTGATTACGAAATAAATATTGTATTAATAATTGTTTCTCTTCTCCTACACATGGATCATAAAATCCTGGTAGTTCACTCTACAACATTGAAATATACAATCATTTTGACTTCTTGTAACAAAATAACGATTTTTATTTTTCGTTCAACTAATTTCACAACATGTACCTTAGATGCATCATAAAGAATTAACTTCGAATCCTTTACTAAACATTGTAAAGGAATGGTTACGTCTATTACTTCATCTCTACGTATAGTTTGCTGTTCTGAGTTGTATTGATTTTGTTGGGGATAGACGAATCTTCCATACAGAGCTTTCGTGATAATCAAGCCCTTCTTTGATTCTTCCGTAGCCCTTATCCTGCTCACAGTGGCTTTCATCAATTTAGTTGCACTTTCTGCTTCTTTTTGTTTCTCCATCATTCTCGTCTTGTTTACCTCCTTTTCTTTTTTTTTTTCACGCTCTTCTCGTTTCTTTACCATAGGATCTATCACAACTTTTTTCAACACAATCCATGTCATTAGCGGAACTACGGTAGCATAGAACACAGTAGCTGGAAGAACTTCGTCACTAAGATGAATCGGGAACGCGTAGGTTTGAAAAGAACGATTCAATTTGAGTTTTAACATAACACCTGTTGGCACTCCTGCGCTTACGACTGCAGATAGTTTTGTGTGTCGCGAAATTTTTTTTTCTGCTCCGTACTCCACGACCAATCCAAATGTACCAGCTCTACAATTAATAAAATGTTAACACTAATACAATTTAGAATTACTTTCAGATATGTACATACAATTGTAGTACTAACCTCACGCTGCCACGTAGCTTCATTTCTTTTTCGTGCATTTTGTATATATACGTAAAATTAACGAATGATTGTAGAATACCAAGGTGTAAAGAAAATGATGTATAAGTTCTCGCTGTATCTCTGACGATACTAGTACTCATGGAACTTTCTGGACCCGCATTATATGTAAGTTCTCCCATCGTATGGGTATCTAATTGCATTGTAAGTCCTAAAATTAATATAACCCTCTCAGATATTATATATCATTTTCATCAGTTGATTATCTAAGTAGGACAAATGAACATACGGCCTATTAGACTAGCCTTAATTTCGAATGGAGTGAATTCTAGTATCGTTGCTCCGTTGAATAGCACTTTATAAGGTAGCATACGAAAACCTTTGAACGATATCATCGGTCCATTCCCTGCACCGACTTCTAGTTCTACCCAACCTTTTGATGAAAGCAATCGCTTTGCTGACACATTTACAGAACCAGATCCTGTACCATTTCTTGTGTTTAATTGTCCATACAATGTTACAATGTCTTGTAAACTAAGAGGTGCTTCAATAGACTGTGTAAATGACATTCCACTGACTTCTATGCGTGAAAGCATGTCCCTGCTATATTTTAAAATAGGATATACTTTAGCACGTACATCAAAATTAGAAGTAACAGTACATTACCTATCCTCAACATCTTTCTCATATTTGTTAAAAAGATCTGTCGCATTGATATTCATTGTAATACTAGTAGTAGGATTTGTGAGGCTTAGTAACTTTCTCTCTTGTGCTTCTCTCGCAAGATATTCATATTCCTCCCTGATTTCTTGAGGTGTTCTAGTACGTTCTACTATCTCCCATCCTTCAGTTTTTAGTCCTTTAATTCCCACAGTGTCGTAAATAGCCCTATGATGAGGATTACTTAGCACTATAACAATAAGCAAAGCATTATTTATATATAACATAAAATATATTACAAAATACAATGGTATTTTGCATAAACCTTTGTAAGCTGCTTTAGTACGATTAAATAAAACTTCTGCTTCTTTCTTAAGTATTGGGTCCACATGTTTATCAGGATGATAGAGCTTGCTCTGCGTACGATATGCAGAGTTGATCTCTTCCTGTGTAGCCTGCAAGCAAATATAGCATGTACTATCAAGCAATTTTTAATTTTAATGACAGAAATCTTAATGAAATCTTGAATTGCATGTTTCTCTGTCTAGTGCTCAGTCTACATCAGAAAATGACTAAACAAAATTATTGTTTGGTAAAAATTATTTAACAAAATGAACAAGTGTGTGGTACGGTTTAAAAACATCTTGGAGAAGTAACTTTATATTGCGTTGCTCAAAGAAGCTCGGTTACATCAGATACCAAGGAATATAGTGTGTCACGTGGAGGTGGAGAAATTGATCTTTAGCCTAGACTAGAGAAAAACGAATTTGCAATTCGAAATGACTCGATAACTTACGTTTTTCGGGATGTTTAAGAACGTGTAATAATCGTCCTCGATTAAATGGTCTTGATCATTGTCATCCATTACGAAATTTTGACTTCCTCCTTCGTTAATCCAAGCGAATAACAAAGTGGCCACTAGTTTTCTTGAACTTGGTCTTCTGCTCCTATAGGTTACGAAATACTCGGTTGAGAACCGGTTATCATTTAGTACTCGTGGCTATCGTCGGGTGGTGCTAAATGAACAGAATCTCGTTTCTGTAGATCAACTGCATTATCGACTTCCAAGGAATCACGAGCAATCATGATAAAGAATTGCATGATTCATTGCAAGTGCAGTTGCAATGATTTACAGGAATTTCTCTTCTTTTTTTTTGTTTGCCAAATTTTTACTTGTCGCTCTATCTATATTTGACCTATACAGGGTAACTTATAAGTAACAAAAGATACAAGTTGCAATGGCACAGCGGAATTTTTACGGCCCCAATAGAATTTATATGATTGTTTCTATGAAAAAATCTTCATATTCACAAATGTTATCCTGTACAATTCCTTTAAATAACTATTAGACATTTACTTTACATTCAAGTTAAGTTTATAAGTAATTGTAAGATACATAAATTATATGGTACAATTATATGGTACAATTGATTAATCAAAAAATTATAAATTATGTTTTCATAGCACAGTATATTTTATAATGTTTGTAAGTTCATTATTATTATGAATAGTTTGTATTGTATATGTATTACTGTATTGTATATTATATTATATAGTATTAGTATATTATATAGTATTGTGATGTATTATCTCTAAGTAAAGCGAGACGCTTTCTTTAATTAATAAGAAAGAAAGAATTCAATAATCCTACGGTTGTATACCGTTCTTGCCAAGCTAAGAGGCTACAACCATGATGTTCGTTCACAATGCATTGAACGTATCCCAAACTGTAGAACGTGACCACGAGCAGTCACGACAAGCCACCATAAAAAGCCAATAAAATTGGTAGGGAGAGACTGAAAGAAAGGGCAGGCCAATGCTGCGGAGTCAGTTTGCTTTGACATTCTCTAATCAAAACAAGAGCTCCCTTCTTTTTCATGTTTCCTTGCGCTCGTTGGGTCAGCCATAATTTTTAAAGGGTTCGGGGGATTGTATTTCCTAATAATTTATCGTTCCTTTACAAGCGTGACCCGTTACGAATGACAAGAATTTTTATAGTTTCCAACAACTGTATGATAGCAAAAATAATCATCTTACTCTTCGCTCATAATGATCTAGGATAACGATAAAGGAATTAGAATGGTCCAGTTGAAAATAATTTGTAAATAACAAATTATTTGGAGACTCGGTAATATTCTTTTCGATACGATCGGTACGTTTGTAATAGAGTATCGTGCACGTGACAATAATTGGACAGGCAAAGCGCACGTTGTTTTAGTAGCGAATTAATCGCAATCACCGCGGCTAATGGCAATAGTAACGTTAAAAGGCGAGGAAACAATCGGCCGGATCGGCCGTCGGTATTGTTAAACACGCTCATTGTACTGCTCTAACAATACACTGTTACAGTGACAACATCCAGCCTGGTGAGTCTTAGTCTTCGATCAACAATCCGTTATCACCAATTGAAAAATATCCGGCTGTCGTTTCTCTTCTTCATTTTTCACATAGGAAATTTCAACTATTCGTTCAAATTTCTTATCTGAATGATGATTCAGTGTATCAATAAGTATTGTCGTGCACAAGAATGTAAGTGTAAATCATATAATGGAATTGTGTCAAACATAATGAAAGATGAATATTCTTCCATTAAACGCAGATTCATAGAAGGATGGATGCCTGATGTATGATGCACGATATATTTTTCATGAAGGATTTTAGTTAATTCCTACTCCTTCAATTCTTATTCTTTTAGTGTTGAAAAAAGTTTATCCCTTAACTATTTCGGTTTATCCCTTAACGAATTTCGCGGAAGATTAGTAAAGGGATAGCTTATTTGATGCTGGATGTTTATTGGATCTTCATTTTTTTCATTATTATTCCTAGAAATTGTCTGCAAAAAATGAAATTCAATAATAAAGAAAAATTAGTACAAGAAACTGAGAAACTTGAGAAAAGAGTTTTAGGAAACTAGTATTAGTATATTAATTCTAAGAAAGAGGAATAACAGCTTCAAAATTTAAAATATAACATGATACGAACAATTCACATCAGTGTTTCTAATAGTTAATATAATGTCTTTTACTGTTTTGATAATCTTAAACTTCGGATATGTTCTAAATAAATTAAGTTATAAATTAATAATTAATTACAGTGTATAATTTAAAGTTAAACTTAGGTAAGTATCTTGAATGATTCAGCGGCAGGATTCAAGAAATGTAAGCCTTTCCGTTCTCTAGTCGTTATCAATTGCCTGCCTAAATTACGTAGCCTCATATTACGTAATCAATGGCACGTATCACTGGCCCATTTCTTAGAATGGTACCTACATCACGTAGGAAGCAAGTATTTATATTGCTTACGATCAATGGCTGAGAACTTGGTCGCTGTTTATTTGTCTGGAGATTTTGATTCCGATAGCGATGTCGTGAAAAGAAACTGGCTCTCAGAAACTTCATCAGAATATTTAAACGCATCTCGTTGGTTCTCTAAATTCTGTCCTTCCAAAATAAAAAAGAAATAACTGCCGGTCTATTAGCTCCAATAATTTGTACAAATTTAAAAATTCTTAT